TGGGTTGTTTTTTTTTTTTTTTGTTGTTACACTGACGTTTTCCGTCTCGAGGGAGACAGATTGAGTTCGCGAGGACCAGAACAGTGGTGTTGAGCGTCTCCTGTTAGAACGGGACGTGTTAACGAACAGTTCTGCTTTCCAAGTGATTCTTGTCCTAAGAAAGCCTTTTTTTTTTCCATTTAGCCTGTTTTCACTTGTACCCTTGCAAGAGGTGCTCTGAGGTTTGTGATCTTGTGCTTATGTAGAAAACTTCTTGGCTGTGTGTCAAGATAATCCTTTATTCTCTAGGGGTTTGTTTTGGTGTTAGGAAGCAACGCTTGCAAATTCTCTGGATGGAATAATTCTCCCGTCGTATTTTTGTATGTCAGTTTTTTTTTCTTTGCGGTATTGTGTTCTTTGTGGCAATATTGAAAAGACACCGAGGGCTTCAGGGCCAAGGCTGCCTGACCTCATCAGCAAATGAGAGAGTGGAGGGAGTACCCAAAAGGTTGTACAATAATCGGTTTCGAAGCACTAGAGACCAGGTGAGGCTTTTAAAAGTACAAGCAGCAGCTGCCTTTTGGACCGCTGTTGACTTTGGATGGCAGCAGAATACCTGATTGCTGTGCTTCTGAGCATGTCTTCAGGTAAGGGCTTGTGCGTGTCGTTACTCCGGAGGAGCTCTTCTGGAATAATTGGACTTGCACGCAGTGTGACACTGGAGTAGCGATCTGTATCTACCCTTATTTAAAGAAATACCTATCTGGGATCAGGTTTGCACCTGGCCGTAACCTGCAATCTCTCTCAAATGTCACAGTTTTCTAGTTTGAAAAATTAGCCTAACAATTCCTGGCAATCAAAGGGGATGCTGAAATGTGCTCTCTCTGCGTGCAGCCCTGTTAATCTGCAGGTAAAGCAGAACAGTTAATTGCCAGAAGAAAAATATCTGCAGTGGGAACAAACGTCCTTTCAGTAAGGCATCAAGAAGCTGATGGAAAAGTTCATGAGGTTTTTTTCCATTGTTTGAGCAAGCTCTTTTTTTTTTTTCATAACATAGTATTAAAATGTCTAGGATATGTAGTGTCTTGTATCATTAACTGGTTGTAGGAGATCATGCGGTGGTTTATGTAACTGGAGCGAGCCTCTTGCAGTACTGCTGATGCAGTGAAGTTTAGAAGAAATGTATTTCTTTATCTATAAAGTTGGGAGTCCATACGTTCTTCCCCAGCTCTGTTAAAATAACTGCCCTAGTTTGGGCTTTGCAGAATTATGTAGGTTAAGGAAAGGCTCCTGCTTGTACAAAGGGTGGTGGTTCTTTCCCAGCTCTACTGTTAACCCAGCCTGGGTGTTAGGAGAGCTTGGTGAGTTAGGGACAGACCCAAAATCGGGAGGTTTTTGGTGCATTTGACTTCCTCCCCTCTTCCATAAGCATCAACTTCTTGGGCAGAGGAGGAAGGAGAGAGGATTTCAGCTGTGTGCTCCCTTCTTCCAGCAGCTGCTTTGGTGTGATTAGTACAGCACCTCGCATCCAGGAGGTGGTTTGGATGCTGGTGGAGGTGGTCTCAGCCGCTTGGTAACTGGGGGGTTGTTGGGGTTAAGGTAATTCTGGAGCTGTTTGTGTGGCAGCTTCGCTGCCGGGATTTCAAGTCACTTCATAATCTTTCCCTTTCACAACTCTGCATGTTGAGCAACTCCCAAGCTTTTGTTTCTTTTTTTTTTTTAATAAAACAAAAGTAAACCTGAGCATTGAATAGCGACTGACCCAAGGTCATGCCAACCCCTGCCCGTGTGATATAGTTGTTGTTTTGTGTGCGAATGCCATCAGCAGCTCCTCTCGAACTGGCGCTGGGCACGGTTTGAATGACTGGGCGCACCAGTTCGCAGCAGCAGGTAAAAGCTTTCTGCAACAAAAGCTGGCGCTGCTGGGAGGCTGGGAACAGCCCGGGAGTCCTCGCTCAAATCCCCGTGCTAAACACTGCCTCTTTTCTCTTCGTTTGCCTCCAGGAAAACGCTACTCTGCAGGCGCAGACATGCGATTTTGCTGACGTAGAAACCAGTGGGATTTTTCCAGTTGGGATGAGCAGCCAAAATGGAGGAGGGCGCAGGAACCCTTCCTGGTTAGTTCAGGTGCTAGCCTGTGTCCTTAGCTCCGCTCTCCAGCGCCTTTCAGAAGGTCTGGCACGTCGTGCCGGGCTGTGTCTCGGGGGATTTTGTGTGACATTGAGTGACGAAGCTCGTTGCTGGATGCACAAAGTTGTCCCGTTGCCAAATCCAGCCAGTTTCGCTTCTCTGCCCGCACTGGCCTGCGCAAATGGCATTTCGGTGGCGCCGGCTGTGCGAGTGCAGCCAGTGTTGAACTGTT